ATATTCTTTCGTAAACGATTTTTGATGGGCTTACACAAGGGGGCTTATACATGGACAATCTTTTGTGTTAGTAATAAAAGTCAGTCATAAACAGGAAAATAAACATGTATTAATAACACACTTTGATTAACATAGTAACCTATAAAGACAATGAGGGGGGCTTATATTCAGGGGGGCTTATATTTGGGGGGGGCTGATATTTGGAATGAGGTGAGTGTTAGTACATGTAGTGGGCTTATACACGGGGAGGGCTTATATTCGGGGGGGCTTATAGTCGGAGGTTTACGGTAGCCGAACAATTTCCAGAAGAAATCGAGAAGATCAGACAAATTTTGTATCCAGAGATGAAGAAGGCCAAAGCAGCAAAGCAGAGAGTACGTATGGTCCGAGACAAATTATTTATTAACGGTGTTGAGTTCAAACCCCAAGCGCATTGAAACTAACATTTTCAATACTATAACTCTCTCGAACTTATATTATGCCATTAATATACACAAGATATGGCAAGTCTAACACTAGGTAAGAAATTTTGTTTTACCTGTTCTACTACAATAGGTAAAAATCAAAAAAGTATAAATTGTTTAACATGCATGCGGGGGATGGTTTCATGCGTGCACCGCGTGTATGAAACTAACTCTCGGATGTCAACAAACGGAAATTGATATATGCGACACGTGTTTAAGTTATTCGCTTCCTTTTCATTCAATAGATGATTTAGAATTTTATTTTATTTTCGGATTTCCGAGCGAAGAGGATATGGATAGACAAACGCAACTAAAATTCAATCCTTTTAACCTTGACACTGACATTTTAAATCCTCAAAACAATGAAAAATTTTTAACGGAAATTCAGAATATGTAACCTGCAATTATCATTTACCGAACGACTTTTCTACAATTAATGATGAAAACAAAAATTTGACTATACTAAACCTTAACATTAGAAGTACGGCTAACAAGTTTGACGCATTCAAACATCTATTAAATACTTTAAAGCAACCTTTTTCTGTAATTAGTTTAACTGAAATTTGGCTTAATGAACAAATCAGTGAAAATTTGGGTGTCTGTAAAAGCCGGAACCCGCCTGGAACACCCGGAACCCCAGCCGGAACACCCGGGACCCTGCCTGGAACACCCAGAACCCCACCCGGAACGCCCGGAACCCTGCTCGGAACCTAGGCAGAAACGTCGAGCAACAAAAATGTCAATTTGGTTGCAAATTTTATTATCCAAAGATGCCAACACGAAATCTCTATATAAATAAAATGCAACAAACCCACAATAATAATGAAGTTATTAGTTATTAAAAAAATTATAGATATACCTATCATATTCGAAAAACTCATACGTTCTGTCCTTAGTGTGTAAGACAAAAACAATCTCATTTTGTGACAAGATTGGCAGAGATCTCTCTACAAATATTTCAACATCTTTGGTCTGTTCACCAGAATTTTCTAAATACCTTTTGGAAAGACAGTTAAATCCCATTTTGTAACTTTGAGATTTGTAACTTTGAGATTTGTTACTCGGTGCTAACTGTAATAACCTTGAATACTGCGGACAATTTTTTAAATAACTATATCACTTCACTGTTATTGTGGGTTTCTTGTGTTTTATTTTACATAGAGATTTCGTGTTGGCGTCTTTGGATAATAAAATTTGCAACCAAATTGACATTTTTGCTGTTTATATAGGGAGTAAGTAGTTGCTCGACGTTTCTGGCTAGGTTCCGGGTGTTCTGGGCAGGGTTCCGGGTTTTCCGGGCAGGGTTCCGGGTGTTCCCGGCGGGGTTCAGGGTGTTCCGGGCGGGGTTCCGGGTGTTCCGGGCAGGGTTCCAGGTGTTCCGGGCAGGGTTCCGGGCGGGTTCCGGCTTTTACAGACACCCTGAAAATTTCGGCCTAAGCAACTATAGTTTTGTTTGTTCTAACCGAGTAAATAAAAGAGGTGGAGGTTTGGGTATTTATGTCTCAAATGATCTACACTACAAATATAAACGAGGATGGAATAATTGAAACGCTATTCATTGAAATAATTTCAACCAGTGGAAAAAATATTATCCTTGGTAATATCTATAGACCACCAAGTGGTAATTTTGAAATGTTTGAAAATAAACTGAATGAAATACTCTCAGAAGTTGATAAAGCTAAATTAAAAAGATAACATATTTGATGGGAGATTTTAACATCGATCTCCTAAAAACTGATAATTGTGACTATTCAAATAGATTCTGTGAGCAACTTTTCACCTCATCATTTTTTCCGCTTATCAATAGACCAACTAGAATCACCCAGCACACTGCAACCTTAATTGATAATATTTATACCAATGACCTTCAACAGATAGAATCTGGCATAAATGGTTTAATTTTCTCTGCTATTTCTGATTATCTTCCAATTTTTCATATATCATCTTTATCAACAAATAAAAATATATCGAAAACGGTAAAAACACGATAAAAAAGAACTATCAACAACGGTAGTCTCGCTTCATTTTTAGTATCTGTTAAAAATATATCATGGTCACACACGTTTCAAACAAATTATCCTTGTGAATCCTATGACATTTTTCATAATAATTTAAAAGCAGTAATTGATAAGAATTTTCCTTTTGTAAAAATGAAAAATAAATCTTTTGATTATGAAAAAAGTCCATGGATGACAGGTGGTGTTTTTAAGTCCATATCTAAGAAAAATCGGCTATATAAAACTTTTTTAAAAAACCCATTTCATAGAAATGAAACAATGTACAAAAAATACAAAAACAAACTGAATCATGTTATTAAAATTGCGAAAAAAATTATTATGAAAACCAATTTTTGAAGTACAAAAACGATATGAAAATGACATGGCAAACTATCAACAAAGTTTTAAATAGAAACAAAACCAGAGAAAAACTTCCCGACATTTTCTTACAGAAAAATTCAAATAGGAACATTACTGATCCCACTGACATTGCTAACAAATTTAATGAATATTTTGTTAAAATTGGTCCTCAACTAGCCAAAAAATTCCGAAGGACAGGACAACAAAATATCACATGAAAGGTACCTTATAATAATAATATAGCTTTAATTTGAGCAAATCGTAGTCCAAGACTAAATTAAATTTACCCATTACAATGTTACTTTAGAAAGGTAAAAAAGCGACACAGCTGCAAGCATTATAACTAAGAATATATACTGAGTTATTTACACTAAGTTCTAAAAAGTCATTATTATAAAATACGTAGGGCTATGCATTCCCTAAATTCTTCCTAATCGTAACTAGTGATCCATTTCATAGCAGATTTGACAATAAAATTGTTTCGAGATCTATTAGTTTTATAGGTTGGCAGCTGGAATTGCATTCCAGAGGCCTGGGATCTAGTGTTATAATGGGTTAGATAAGTAGGTGGTAAAAGGTCATGTAGTTTATGATTTTGCTTCATGATGTTGGAGAAAAACTTGTCACATAGGTGTTCCAATCTCACACACAGCTGAGGGATACCAGCAAGATGTAAGGAATCTCGGTAACTAGTAACGGGGAAAATTATTCGCATGATCCTGCGTTGGATGGATTGAATTTGTTCTCTAAGGTATTCAGTAGTACTGTAAAACCATGCAGGGCAAGCGTACTCCAATACTGTTCTTACACACGTTGAATAGAAAGTAACCAAGTCCGTATCTGCAACGCCCGCCCTTTTCAGAAGTCTCACCGAATATATTCGCCTTGAAGCTTTCTTTGTTATCATATTGACATGCTCATTCCACTTAAGGCTTGATGACAGATTAACCCCAAGCAATTTATAGGTAGATACCCTTTCGATTGGGATGTTGTTGATGGTAATATTATCGATCACTGGGGGCACTCTTTTAAAACAGATAAACATTTCTTTGCATTTTACTGGGTTAAGCATCATTTTCTTTTCGTGTACAAATTCACAAATATTATTCGAACTTTGCTGAAGATTAGTAGAGCACGAGAGTTATTCACAATACGAAGGGTCTCACTAACAGTCAGGTCGTCCATATACTTCCATCTCCACGATTCTCTGTAAGCCAAGGCGTTTACCATTAATAGGAAAAGGGTAGGTCCCAGAACACTACCCTGCGGAATTCCAGCTGATACCGGTTTCCACTCAGACGAAAAACCGTCAACACACACTCCTTGATGTCTTCCTGTCAAGAAACTACGAATACTCTGAATTAGAACAGGATGGACCTCCAACTCTCTCAGAATATCCAGTAAAATGTAGTGGTCCACTCTATCAAAGCCTTTACTCAAGTCGTAAAAACAGAGTCTTATTGCATCGTTTGGGTTGTCGGTATTGGAATATAGGAAGTTCATGAGATCCACCAATGCACAAGTTGTGGACGAACCTTTGACAGATCCGAAATGGCGATCATCCAATTTGGAGCCAACATGGTTAAGTAGTAGTGAGTTAAGATGACTCTCATAAACTTTCGCAACTGGTGAGGAAAGTGATATGGGTCTTAAATCACTCTCTATATCTACAACTTTGGTTTTCTTGGGGGCTGGGCAGACATCAGCACTCTTCCATTCAGATGGAAAACAACCTTCCATTAAGCAAGAATTAAAGATGTTAGTTAAAGGTGGGGCTAGAATTGTGCTCAAATTCTTTAACACAATGGTAGGGATAGGTTTCAGACCACAGGACTTCTTGGCATTTAGGTTGGACAGTTTTCGGGACACTTGACAAGTTGATAGTAAGAAATTATCAGGGACTATAAAATCTGGAGGGGTGGGTACTGGTTCCAGGGGCTGGTATTCGTCAATGATCCGCAAAAACACACTATTAATTAATTCTGTTAATTCAACCCCAGTTGCTTCATGGTCGCCAAATCTTAACTTATTAGGAATCTTGTTTGGTTTCTGCCTAGTTATTGCTTTAACACCCTTCCACCATTTTCTGGGGTTGCAGGACCTTGTGTTCTCAAGATTATACCTATAATGATTTCCCATAGCAAGCTTAATCTCTTTAGATACTTTGTTTCGGAAAAAGTTGCGAAGTGGGACATTGCCTTTCTTCCAAGCGCGTTGACGTTTAACAATAAGGTTCTTGATGTAACTGGTCATCCATGGTTTGTCGTTGGTATTTAAGCGGCAAAGTTTGACGGGCATAAACTTGTCAAGAGCAGTGATAACCTTATTATAAAACACTGACATCTTATTTGCAACAGAGTCAGCTCTGTAAACTTCACACCAGTTCTGTTTCACCAACCATAATGATAGTTTATGCAGATTTGACAGATTTAGCTTTCACCTATAGATAATCTTGTTCACTCCCTTAGGTGCAATATAATCCCGGGGGGAATATAAGATTGAACAATGATCTGATCTCCCCAACGGAGGTAGTTGCTGAGGTGCTGTGTAAAATTCTGAACTATTCGTTAAAATAAGGTCGAGTGTAGCATCATTACGCGTTGGAAAGTTTACAACTTGTTTTAAATGAAGCTTTCTTTCAATAGGTTTTACATTCATGCGTTACCTTAGTGGTAATTATGTCGAAAGTATGTTTATTGAGCCTGTGACAGAACATGAATTACTGACTGAAATTAATAACTTAAATGAAAATAAAAGCGCAGACCACGATAAAATAAGCGCCAAGATGATAAAAACAATAGGCGAAGAATTTTTTAAACCTCTAACACATATTTATAATTCAACGTTTTTAAATAACTGGAAAAATTCGAAATTTTCTAAAAATAGCCCTAGTGACTCCAATTTTCAAAGCAAATGAAAATAATCTATTTGAAAATTACAGACCAATTTCGGTTTTGACATGTTTTTCAAAATTACTAGAAAAACTTATGTACAAACGACTACTTAAAGGCCATGTTACACGGTGCAATTTTTCTTGCAACTTGCAATGCAATTCTACTCTTGAGAGAACATTCTTCACTGACTTCACTAATTAACACCTCTTAAGAGTAGAATTGCATTGCAAGTTGCAAGAAAAATTGCACCGTGTAACATGGCCTTAACTATGTAGAAAAACATAACATATTATCAAATCATCAGTATGGTTTTCAAAGAAATAGATCTACAGAAGACGCCTGACTAAAACTAATCGATAAAATTTCAAAAGCTTTAGACGAAGGTAAATACACAATAGCAGTTTTCCTTGACCTTTCTAAGGCTTTTCTAAACCATGAAATTCTCTTCGCCAAACTACAACATTATGGGGTCAGAGGAACATGTCTACAATGGTTTATGAATTATTTAAACGGAAGAACTCGAATAGTAAAAGTTAAACAGCATAGGTCATCTGAAATGAATGTTACTACAGGAGTCCCACAGGGTTCAATTCTTGGTCCATTATTATTTCTTTTATACATTAATGATATTGAGAACTGTAGTGATAATATATCTCTCGTTTTATATGCTGATGATACAAATGCTTTCTATTCAAATTCGTGCTTGAAAACATTATCTAGTACTATACAAAATGAACTTGATAAGGTAGTCCAATGGCTCAATGCAAATAAATTATCAATCAATGCATCCAAAACAAAAACAAGACGCTCTGTTGAGCGTTTAGTCGCTGGGGCTATTAAAATAAGGTCTTCTGAGCAGGGCTTCTGTGCTTATTGCTCTCTCTTCTGAGAAACCAGGAAACCAGGCTTAAACAAATTTATTGCAACTCCACATTTTGTCCCTTCAACTGATTTTCTCAAAAAATTTAATGCCCCCCCCCCCACCCTTCTAGTAAATTATTTATACTCATGGGGTCTTGACCCCACCTTTTGGGGGGGCCCCTCCCTCTTCCATAAATAAGGTCTGGTCCCTAACTGCAGGAAAAATATGTGCACTTCACAGAACATTTATAACAATTCATAATTTATTACTTTTGCCTCAGGCTGGGTAACCACAACAGAAGTTGCCAAATAGGCCCTTTGAAGGTAGCTTGTATGACAAGCTCGATGCTTAAAATAGAGCCTGTTATACCCTGTGAGCAAAGTCCTCTCGTATTTCTTCTCGGCACGGCACAGAGAAGCGAGAGAGACTCTGCAGAACTTGTGTATAAATTCATTTGAGCATGCGCGAAGGTTGCTAAGCAACTGCCTATTTCCCAGAAGAAGATTTAATAAGTACCGTAATTTCCAGTTCGGATCAAAACCGGTTATAAAACTGGTATCAAACCTGAAATTACTCATAATTATCCAAGTTTTTGTGTTGTCGGCTCCACAAAGAATATACAGAAGTTCTGCAGAGTCTCTCTTGTGCTGAGTAGAAATACGAGAGGACTTTGCTCGCAGGGTAAGCCTGTTACTGAAGTCAATAAAAAGTGGACAGTGATTGGGATGCACAAAAATAATGGCAATTGTTAATTACGTATCAGTCAATTCCAGCAGTGCCCATCCCCCAAGGTATTAGCCATTTCTGGGAAGAAAATGGCTATGTCCACAAGCCATTTGCAATCAAATTAAATATCAGTTTTCCAGCAAATCTACCAAATTCCTCATGATGGAAAATGTCAAAATCCTCACCCCAGGGCTAAAAAATATCGGCAATAGCCCCACCCCCGTGATTAGGAAAAGCCGCAAAGGCCCAGGGGTGGGAACTGCTGGAATTAATTGATACATTAGATTATCAAAGCTAATTTAAAATATGACAGTAACGGCCAACTTTTCCACCAATATCTCAAAACTAAATATTCCAATTTTCATCAAATGGCCAGGAATTACATATTAAATAATAATATTAATAACTGTTATTGACTGCAGCAAAGGCAGTCATTAACATGGCCAAAAGTAGTTAAAGTACAATTACAAGTACAGAATATCATTACGTAACCATTACAATCGTATCATTACAATTTGGCATTACCTTAAAAACAAAGCTATTTATTTCTGACCAATGGGAATTTTGCATACAAATCATGTGCATCAATCCTTTTTACTGACCTCAGTAGCAGGCTTTATTTCAGGCATAGAGCCTGACACGCTAGTTACTTTTAATAACCCATTGAGTTGCATTGCCTCCCCCCCCCTACTTAATTTCAATACATTGTTTTCACCATTGTGTTTAATATACAACCTTGCAAATTTACTAGTAGGAATTTCCATTGTGTTTGCAGCCCTTACACTTTGTGTTTCATTATGGCATCTTGATCTTGAAAGAGTCTATTACTGTGGCTCCAAAATTTTCCCGTTCGGCGTTTATAGAAACACAATACATTGATCATAAAATGACTGAAATATTACAGATTTAACCCAAATAAACAGCAGTTTGCGAATATTACTGTTGCGATTTACAAAGGTTGCGGCCACTGAGGTTGCGGCCCGTTCCAACTTTGTAAAATTAAAAATTATGAACTTTTGTCTTCTATTTCAAGCTTGTAGCCTTCCAAGTTTACTCACATAAAATGACTTTCGCTTTATAAAGCTTGTTTCATCGGAAAACTTTTAAGGTTCATCGGAAAAATAAAAAAAATATGTACAAAATCGATGATACCATTCGCTCGTAGTATTAAAGCCCAATAAAGCGGCCACCTTGAATTCAGCGACAATAGTAATGACGCAATTTTTATTTCTTATTAATGACGTAATTGTCATTTTGTGGCTAACGATCCAAGATCCGACACAAATGCGTGCCGAAACCTAGAGTCGCTGCGGGCTCTGCCCAGCGACTAATTATCATTTTTAAATGCAAAAATAAATCACGGGATACACAGATAACAATAAAAATAAATAATGATTAAACAGGTGCCTTTTGTAAAGTTCTTAGGTGTCATAATTGATCAGTCTTAAAAAGCATAACTAAATCTACAGGTCTGATTGCTAAATTAAGACATTATACAAATAAAAACACTTTGAAATTGATTTACTATGCATTGGTCTATCCATACCTTACGTATGGAAATCTAGTTTTGGGTAATACATATCCAACAAGATTACAGAAGTTATTAAAGATACAAAAGAAAATTGTCCGACTAAAGTGTTTAAATCTTATACAGATCATTCAGAACCTTTATTTTTTAATCTTAAAATCTTGAATATCTACAAAATTAATGATCATCTTTGCAGTCTATTTATGTATCGCTGTATGAATTATGATCAAAATTTGTCAAACCTTTACAATTATTACTTTATTCAAAATAAAGAATTACATAATTATAATACGCGAAACTCTTCAAAATTACACGTTAGTTATAAAAGAACGAACTATCGTGTACACACTCTTTTTAACAAGGGAATTTCGATATGGAATTGTCTTGATGAAGAAATTAAAAATCAAAAATCGTATCTTAACTTTAAGAAAAAAACAAAATTAAATTACTTGTTAATACAAATATTGTGACCTAAAAAATATATGATATATACAGTATATATATAGTATATATACAGTATATATACAGTATATATATATATATATATATATATATATATATATATATATATATATATATATATATATATATATATATATATATATATATATAATTTCCTTAGCGCATCACATTTCCGTTTGTGCTTGTCTGGCCTAGAACACCGTCTGCTTTTCGAACTGAGGTTTCGCTTCCATGGAATGCGTGGCAACATTAATCATTTACACTAAAGTTAAACAGTCATGTATCACACTAATGTTTTGTGTTCAAAAGTCCGTTTTGATTTATTAAAATGCAAGCATTTTGTGCGGTATGCAAATTGCGTACCATGATTAAGCCTATAGCCGACTACAGATAATAATTCAACACCTGATTCTAAGAAAACAAAGCCATTATTTAGCGCTTGTAATTTAGAAATACATTTTGTATGTCGTTTCTATTTTGTTTCTTACACAATAAACTCATGAAAGCACTCCTCTAGATTGAACAATAAAAGTTCATCGCCTTGATGTATATGTATTTGTATAAAAGCGGAAAGAAATATATCCCTGTTCTGAAAATTTCGATCTTCTGTTCTGATCGTGCATAAATAATTACAATATTCATTCGCTTAATACCCATACCTATTTGTTTACCGTGAAAGTCATATAAGAACCATATAGCCGATAAAGTCATGAAAGCACGCCTATCATCATTAGCCCCCCCCCCCCGCCAGAATTAGGGAATCGCCATTTTTTCGGAGAAAATAAAGATTTTTCGGGGAAAGTACCCTTTTAAGGGGGGGGGGGAGAAAGGAAGGGGGACCCGAAATTGAAATTTAAAATTTTCGGGTTTGCGCCGAATATTTAAAGGTGGAAAGGCCCTCATCAGGGCGAAACTTGAGGGGGGGGTATTGGGGGGTGTTGCACCCCCCCCCCAATCATCCAGATTCGCAGGGCAATCTCCCGGTTGGCAGGGCAATCAAAGATCTTGCAGGGCAATGAAGTGATAGTTGATTTTTATTTTAGCATTGCAAATTTTTCCAAATTTTCGCAGGGCAAACAAGCTGACACCCCGCCAACCGTAACACCCTAGTTTCGCCCCTGGCCCTCATTCAGACTTTACCCCACTAGTTGTAATTTCTTAAAAAATGCCCTGCTTGATGATCGACCTTTCGCCCGGAAAATGCAGACATCCATCCGACGCGAATCGACTTCTCGACAAAATATAGATCCGCGCAAAAGACTGGGTCGAATGAACTCTGGAGAAACCTCTGCAGTATGTCAAGAGTAGTGTCCGCCTCGCTGACGCTACTTGCTTCATGAACTTATTATTGTGACATTTATGTACAATCTGTCTTGAAATCAATCTATATTGCACGTTGAGCGAAAATGATATAATTGCTGTTTGAATATTAAATGTTATAAAATAATCTTTAGAAACCTGAAAACTGTACATTTCAGTAAATCAAGGAATATGGGAAAATGCCTACAAATATTAATTGTGATGTCAATTGAAAGGTGTGCTATTGAAAGAAAAAGAAAATTTATTCCGAAAAATATGTGCATGATTATCAATTATACGGCCAATTATTTACTAACTATAGCTATATTTTAACTCTGATTGCATGGTTGCGCCACTGACATTTACCTAGAGCGTTTTCTAAAACTGCAGCAAGCCGTTTTGTCAAAGTAAGTAGCAAATCAATAATCGATATAATTAACACTTATTTACTGGGAGCGAGGGAAACAGTATGTTTTGTGAACCCGAGACCGTCATCAACTAGACCCAGTACCCTGCTCGATTGGGAAATGGTTAATTGCAAGATTCAGTCTATGCCGAGGGTGTATACCACGACATGCATGTATTTCTAGATTTCTAATAATTTATCATTTAAAAATATTTATTTACGTACTTGGTATTGGAATTGTTTTTTCCTTGGCACGCTTGGTAGTTTTCGACTGGCTTGCTATATGAAAAAAACCCAAAAATATTGTATTTCTAGATTTCTAATAATTTATCATTTAAGAATATTTATTTACATACTTGTTATTGGAATTGTTTTTTCCTTGGCACGCTTGGTAGTTTTCGATTGGCTCGCTATATGAAAAAAACCCACAAATATATAAATGCAGAAGCAGAGCACAGGGAGACCAGAAAAGGTCCCACAAGTTTGCCAGTCCTCAAAGTGCTCCGGTCATCGCAAATTATTACGAAAAAATACAACTGTCTTATAAAATGTACTGTCCTAAGTATAACGTATACTGTCTTAAAATAATTGAATAATTAATATGTAATTATTCAAATATTTATAAGACGGGACTGCTTTAATAAATAGAAATACCACTCACATAAGTTTGCTCGTCCCATAAGTTTGGTGTGTAATAGTGTTCCGGTCCCACAAGTATATGCATGGTGTGTACACCGTAAAAACGGATAGGTTAAAATAACCAATTTGAATTGATTTTCCCAGTAAACATTTAAAAACGTTTTACGAAAAGTTTCGTGTTGAATTTTAAATTAAAATAAAGCCTATAGAATGCAACATAACATACCTACTTTATATATTTCAGAAATTGATAGTTCTATAGTATTAAAAAGTGTTTTAACACTTAAAAGGTGGCTCAATACAGTATTTTAAGAAATGGAAAATCGACGACCTGCGTCCGATATTTTGGATATTTGTTACTTGTTGGAAAACAAAGCGTGTTTGAGTTTTATAACGTCATATCGGAAGAGTTCGAATTTTGTAACAAAAGTCACGTAACTCCCGTTGCCATGGCGACAATGACGTATCCATATGGCGGATATTTCGTCTTTAAAGTAACTTAACTCGAAAACAAGTTCAATGACCCCCATTTTTTATTTTATAAAATGATTTCTTATAAAATTTTGAATATATTTGACGTTTTAAAAAAATTTTGTTGACTGAAAAATGTTTTACCGCGAATAATCACGTTTAACGAATTTGGAAAAATTTGAATCAACAATATTTTTTTCAAATCGTCAAATATTTTCAAAATTTTATAAGAAATCAGTTTATGAAATAAAAAATGGGGGTCACCGAACTCGTTTACGAGTTAAGTTACTTAAAAGACGAAATATCCGCCATATTGAAACGTCATTGTCTCCATGGCAACGACAGTTACGTGACTTTTGTTACAAAATTCGAACTCTGCCGATGTTATTTTATAAAACTCAAACACGATTTGTTTTCCAACTCTGTGTAATAACAGTCCAAAATATCGGACGCAAATCGTTAAGTTTCTACTTCTGAAAATACTGTATTGAGCCACCTTAAATTTCCATGTAGTTTTGCCGTTTTGTAAAAAAAAACAATGATCGTGTTGCCATGGCAAGAGCAAAATGACACGAGCAAGATGATGTGAGCAAAGCAAGCCTGCGTTCAGTGTAACTAAGAATACTTCGTGTTAAACGATGTTAAAACAATGTTTGGAAAATATGGGCGAGGGGTTGCTGCATGCATGTATTTCTAGTATATATTATATATTACATGCACCATATACTATTACATGCACCATACTTGTGGGGACTGGACCGGAACACTATTATACACACCATACTTGTGGGGACCGGAACACTATTATACACACCATACTTGTAGGGACCGGAACACTATTACACACCATACTTGTGGGGACCGGAACCCTATTATACACCATACTTGTGGGGACTGCAACACTATCACACACCATGCATGCTTGTGGGGACCGGAACACTATTATACACCATACTTGTGGGGACTGCAACACTATTATACACCATGCATGCTTTTGGGGACCGGAACACTAATATACACACCATACTTATGGGGACTGCAACACTATTATACACACCATACTTGTGGGGACCGAAACACTATTATACACCATACTTGTGGGGACCGGAACACTATTATACACCATGCATGCTTGTGGGGACCGGAACACTAATATACACACCATACTTATGGGGACCGCAACACTATTATACACACCATACTTGTGGGGACCAGAACAATATTATACACCATATTTGTGGGGACCGGAACACTGTTGTACACCATCCTTGCGGGGAACGGGACTCTATTATGCACTGTTAATTAAACATAGATCTGAAATATATTATTGAAATACTTCATGTGTAGGGACCAAAACACTATTATAGACACCATATTTGCGGGGACCAGAAAACTATCACATATTTTATACTGAAACAGTTTCGTCCTTTGATAATATATCACTATTTCACTGTAAAACCCTTTTTCCATTTGAATCAGTGATCCGAACTTACCACTGGTGGTAGAGGTACTGGGTATTTCACCGGTATCGTCTTCACTCTGGTCGCTTTCTTCAGAGAATTCAGGTATATCTACAGCATTTGCAATAAAAAATATTACGCTTAAAATATTTCTTCATGAACTTATTATTGTGACATTTATGTACAATCCGTCTTGAAATCAATCTATATTGCACGTTGAGCGAAAATGGTAAAATTGCTTTTTGAATATTAAATGTTATAAAATAATCTTTAGAAACCTGAAAACTGCGCATTTCAGTAAATCAAGGAATATTGAAAAATGCAGACAAATTGTGACGTCAATTGAAAGGTGTGCTATTGAAAGAAAAAGAAAATTTATTCCGAAAAATATGTGCATGATTATCAATAAAACGGCCAATTATTTACTAACTGTAGCTATATTTCAACTCTGATTGGTTGCGCCACCTCCGATTACAACGCGACATTTACCTAGAGCATTTTCTAAAACTGCAGCAAGCCGTTTTGTCAAAGTAAGTAGCAAATCAATAATCGATATAATTAACACTTATTTACTGGGAGCGAGGGAAACAGTATGTTTTGTGAACCCGAGACCGTCGGTGTTCCTGAGGCGAAGCTGAGGGAAACGTCGAGGGTCCACAAAACATACTGCTATCCGGCCAATAGCTGCATTTTAACATTGCCAATAGCTGCATTTTAACGTTGTTAAAATGTTAAATTAAACACTGTAGTTACTTAGGCTGTCGAGTTCTACTTTGTTTATATTTTCAAACTCCGTAGGAAGTTCTTTTTCGGCACAATATTCTCTTTGTAGTCTTAATTAAGGCCGTTTTCCACTTCATGCGTAACGTACCGACACGTATCAAAACAAATGTTAATTTTCAAAATTTAGGAGAGCCAATAAAACACTAGAAAAATGCTACAGGTATATAATAATTACTATTGTTATATAGCTAGGGTGTACACCAAACGTGATTAGCTGAATTGTGGTCGCGTTGCTTTAGATAAATGCAATGTATCCCGCCGGGAAACAAGTGAAAAATTGTAGCCGACCCCGACCGGCTACGTACGTAAATAAACAAATTGGCGGCTCAACTCGCATAATTAGAAACAGCAAGTTTCCAAGTTTGTGGTCGTTTGTGTTAACGTAAAGACTATAAAAGACAAGAAAAATACACAACAGGCAACAGGATATGCTGCTGAGACCGTTTAAGTAGGTCCTTTTAATTTTAAAATCGTTTAATCTATATAGTTTTTGCCACGAAATACAATTTTGTATGAATGTTGTTGAATGTCGATTTTTATTTCGTCGCTATAATATAACAAAACACTTAATGCCTGTTCCCTTGGGAAATAGTTAGTTTTGTTTTCCCTCAAATCTCAATGCTACCCGTACCCTGGATCAGGGGATTTCCTGTTTCGCTGAAGCTGTAGCCTGCACTCAGGCGGTGCTGGCCAAGCTTGGAAATCCCCTGGGCGCGAGCTGTTGATTGATTGATCGCGCCAAACCAATCAGATGTCTAGGGTCAGATTTTGACCCTGGAGATCTGATTGGTTTATCGGCAAAGCAAACATAATGATAATATCACAACACACATTGTTCGAAATTCGGAAAAGCTTTCCCTGTATTTTATTATACTGTTCATTAACAGAGTGCATTTCGTTAACAAAAAAGATGCTTCGTGGAAATGCTTATGGTGTGAATTTGTTGGTTGTCGTCTCAGATGATGTTCATGTTATTCCAAAACAGTTATATCAAATAGCGTCATTGTGTTTTATATGTACTATTTACAACATGAGCGGCCGTGTTGTATCGGATATACAAACTCGAGCCGAAGGCGAGAGTTTGTATATCCGATACAACACGGACGCGAATGTTGTAAATGACTTAAAAGTTCATTGGCGAAGTAATTTCAAAAATAAACGTTGTCTAAGCCGAGAAAATCAAAGTTAAAGTTTATGTAAATCAACATGAATCTGTATCACATATACAGATACGACACGCTTATGATTTTTCTTTGTGTTTTCTTCATGAATTATTAATGAGTTTTTTAAATATAATTACAATATTAATTCTGTATATCTTGAGTCGAATTTTGTTGTACTAATGTATGTTCGGTTCTTTGAATGTAGTTTCTCGGCAAGGTATTTGGCTCACATATATTATTTTAGTATGTATTCATGTAAACATACACATGTAAATTCCAATACAGATACAGAACATTCTCTATCAAATTTAAAACATAAAAGTACTAATTCAATCGCTATCATTACTTGTTTAACAAATATTAAAATATGTACTCGACTGCTGCTTGTATTTTGAACTTGTCACTTGAAACTGTTTAGAACAGACGGATTCTTTTTCGAATGGAACTCAATGCTGATATTCAAGTCTCCGAGCCTGCCGACCGATTGTAATCCATAGTTTCGAGACACATTCGGCTCCAAAATAGAAAGCCGATGCGCCAGTTCATTCGGAACTCTTCCCAGAGAAAATATTACATTTTCCTCTTCCAAGTACAGCAATATAACATTGGCAAAAAAGATAATTTGGTCAAGGGGATAATAGTTTGTTTTCGTTGAATGCGTATTTGACTTCACCCTTCAGAGTTCAGACCGGAAGTGCGAAATATTAATAAATACGTCACAGAAATGAAATTCGACAAGTCGCGCCCAGAGGTTTTCTCCGCCTTGTCACGTCCTAAAATTCGCCTGAACACCAGAAAACCCCTGAACCCAGGGTATGTTACCCAAGACGAAGTCGAGATTCTCAACAAAACAAAACTAACTATTCCCCTAAAGCCACGTGACCACAATTCAGCCAATCACGTTTGGTGTGCACCCTAGCTTTATAACTGTTATATCTTGCATATTTAAGTTGCATTAATTAGCGTAATTACGCAGGCGCATAACTTATGTAACAATGTGCTTTTGAGTTAGTTCGGCCATTGCTTAAATAAAGGTTAGTTTATATCCTTTGTAATTTGCTCTTATTTACGGTTTTACTCGGCTACACGAACTGCTACTTACATTACAATAACATTAAGTGTATAATGTAGTATCATTCACATACCATCAATTCCAATTTCAGTTAAAGATTTTCCAACTAGTTGGCTGGTTTTTCCTTTGTCTACAGCAAGCAATAACTTGCTTACTTTGGCAATTTCCAAGGTGGATTCATGCAACCGGTAATAATTCCGATGGACTGTTATATCGTGACCGAGATGTCTGGCTAACCAATCCATCTCGGTGGCCTTCATGGCCAATACTTGGGAAATGGTTGCAATGTATTTCCTCAATCCGTTGCTGGTGATGTTCTTGGGATTAGTCAGTGGAGGATCACATTCCAAGGCAAATTGATTCATGCAAGACCAAGTACGCATGTGATTTAGCGACTTTTTGGATGCGTTTGCAAAAACGTATGGATTATCTTCCGGAATGCCAACCGCAGATCTTGTACGATTTAGGAGCTCTATGCTGGTTTTGAGCTCTGGTGTTAAAATAATTGGCACCTTACGGCCTCGTTTCCCGCGAACCTCTACCATATCCAACCTGAAATCAAAACAAAAGTGCTGAACGTGAGAGAGACAGACAGACAGACAAACAGACAGACAGACAGACAGACAGAGATTTATATCGCTGTTATTAAATAGGGCAGACACCCTGCGTGGGTTCCCATTGTGCGTGGGTTCTCATCTTGCTCCGAGATCTTGATTGTGATCCTCACAATCAAGATCTTTCTATCATCAACTTCACAACCAACACTAAACCCCTCAAGCTGAAGAATATTATGTATATACTTATATAGGCTATTTCGGTTGCTCATATATCGAGAAACTACTCAGACGAATATGAAATACGCCCGCGGTATTAGTAACGGGCCTACGTTAAAGAGCTGCTCATGACTAATTTCCCAAAAACGTCTTTGCGATTATTTTTGTATCATTACGTAATTGCATGTAAATTTTAGCGAACCAATCAAATTTTGTTAGAACATGTAAATAATTAAATTAGACATACTGTGGTTGACTTTACTTACATTTCCGAGAGGTTTTTCTCAAACTTGTTTAAGGATTTGACAATTTCGGAGCTATTTGCCTCCTTCCAATTTGGCCTCTCCTGAAATGCGGAGAGGAGAAGATTTGCAGCTTCTCCTCCTCGCCTTTTATTGAACATAACTAGTCTTGTTAGAGTGGCTTTTGCAAGCATAACCCAGTCTTCTAGGAGTGGTGTTGACTCCAGATCTTTGCGACATCTAGTTATTATACACTGAAGGTATTTTCTCAGCCTCTCCAGATCTTCGGTCAACGGCAAGATGTTTACCTTGTTAAATTTTCGAGCAGACAGCGTGTTAATAGAGTGATGAGATATTTTGTACTGCCATTCCTGCTCCATCAGGGTCTCAAAATTGTTGGCATCTTCTTGTATGTTTCTGTCGCGAGTGCGTATGCCTTTTGCTCGTACAGTAGCGGCGCACTTCTTTAAATGGTGGCCGAGTTTCAGTCCAAAAGATGGTGTGCCAACTGTCTGGTTGCCATCATGCATTTGGAACTTGCAAATTTCTTTTACGGCCTTGACTACGGTGTCAAACTTTTCGGGTTTGATAAATGCAAGCAAGTCGGCATATGGAGCAAACTCCAGTTCTCTTAGTTGGACCAGCAAGCGTCCCATTTCTCGCATGGTCTGGCTGACTACAGCTGTTGGCTTTGACCCATGCTTGTCAACTAGAATGCAGCCGACTTGCTTGATCAGCCAATCATTTTTGGCGACCGAAGAAATGTTATCACTCTTCATCGTGGCAAAAACTCGATTCAAGTTTTCGTTCTCTTCGTTCGTTATTGATGGCGTTATCATCATCTTTGCCTCCTTTTGAACTTTTGCATAACCAGGCTTTTTCGATTCGCTTGGCTTGAACTTGCACACAAGATTGTGTTTCCATAATAACAATCTTTTTAGGTATCCTAAGCAGTACCGACATGGAAGAAAATCTTCGTTGTTACACACCGGTAGATCGTTATTGGGCCGACGCAGTAGAATCAACTCGCCTTCCCCAGTTTCAATTACGGATTGGTTGTGGTGAAAGTTTGCTTCCAGCCTCAACTTTTCCAGGCGGTCTTTTCTTTCCTGTGATTCCTTCTTCAGGCCCAATATCGATTTCACTTCAATCTCGTTGTTGTGCTTCCGAAATATATGTCTTGAAACCTTGGAGCACAACTCCCCGCAATAAAAACAAGCCTGTCTTTTGTCATAACTGCGAACGTTTTTACCTATAAGACAAAATAATGAATATATAAATTAATTTCCTTCTAAACCTTCTCACACATCTCGGACATTTTCGGGTGTTTTATTTTGCCAACGATGCAACTTTCGTTTTATGCAATTTTCGTTATAATTCATTGATTTTAAGTAGCCAGTTCTAAATTTCATTATATAAGTGTGATTTATACAATTGTACATAAGCTAAATGTTTATTTAAATAATGTTTCCAGTATTGTTATCGTTATGAAGAGGTTCTTTGATGAGAATGCTAAGCCTGTACATATAGGATAAAAACCAAATGGGGGGTCCTTTATGTCTTCAATGGGAGCGGGTAGCGCGAGGAAGACCGACCATGAGGTTTTTATGTTGTTTATATACATATCACACCCATTTTCTACTATCCTCGAGAGATTGCGGTTGTGGGACGTAAATTAAGATTGAGCATGTGCACTACATATGCTTTAATGTCATTAAGCATGCGCAATCTATCATTTCACGTAGAAGATCAACAATACGATAGAAGACCGAAAAAGACGTAAACGAAGAGAGAAGACACAGTCGCAGTGGAGAAAGAACAAGAGTAGGTAGAGCAAGAAATGACGCAGTGGAGTGAAGCAGCAGTTGGGGAAAAGATGGATAGTGTAGCAGCGGTTGGTCAAGCAGCCACCAACTGTCGAATTAATGCAAACAAATCCCCGTGAAGTGAATCCAATAGTCCAAAGAGTGCAGTCCCGCTGTTTTTTCCGAGGTATTTCACACCCTGAATCCCAGGACTCCCCCGATTCCCTGAACTCCATCGATTCCCAGAACTCCATCGAGTCCCAGATCTCCCATGACTCCCAGCGCTCCCCGTTCTTTCGGGATTTCTTCGAATCTTAGAACTCCTCCCCGTTTCAAACAGCCTAGTGCATTGAATCGTGAGTCCCAGGATCGCAACCGGTCAAGTTGTTCCCATGAAGATGATTTCCCAGGCCTCTATCCGTTGAAGATCCGTTGAAGCGAGGAGATGTGGGCCAAGTTCGAAAGAAACCTAGGAAACCTAAGTGATGGTTCATTCTTCGCTATCGGTTGTATCTCTGAATGTTGATGGCATGAGAAATCCTAAACGTCGTAGTTTAATGTTTGCTTATCTAAATCATTATGAATATGACATTGCGCTTTTGCCAGACACCAGGATACTCAACAATCGGAAATGCATGCAGCGGAATGCTGGATGTGGATGTCGAGGATTTTGGAGTGTTGGAACGATTTACAGTCGGGGTGTTGTTATTTAATCCGTGATCCTGCGAAATTCGAGGGTATATTGTTCGATGTCGACAGCCGAGTGTGTGTTTGTGATTTGACTTTTAATGAAAAAACCTCTGCGGGTCAATATTTATGCTCCTACTGTTGGTACAAAACGTTTGGAATTCATGTCAAAGCTGGACAGATATCTGTTAAGCAAACGGTAAAGTAACCACGGGCGGTGACTTTGATTGTGTTTTAGACATACTTATGTACCATTTTGGGGGAAAATCCGACTAGCGGGAGTACTGGTAGCCCAGAATTAAAGCGTTTATTATCTTGAAAACTTGTACTCAAACGCGGACCGTTCTGTCGTGTCTCGTTTAGATAAGTTTTATATTTCTTTGGATTTGGTGGATGATAGTAAGATAGTATCTGGGATCCAACCATGTCACTTATCTGATCATAACCTGGTTTACTTTCATATTCTGGATACGCAACACGTAGTTACGTGGGAACGGGGGGTTTGGAAAATTAATACTTCTCTTCTCAAGCATGAAAAACTACGTAATGAGATTATATCTTTCTGGGCTGACTGGACTGATGTAGGGGAGTGGTGGGACGAAGGCAAAGCTGAAATTAAAAATATTATTATCGAGTATGGTAAAGCTGTCAGACGGCAAACAAATGAAAAGCGAGTCTATCTTATGAACAAGTTTCATAGTCTATCGGAGAAAAACAATTTGTCTCCTCATGAGTCAGAACAGTTACGGCGTGTTCGGTAAGATTTATGTGATCTTGATTCTCAGAGATTGGAGGTGACTAAAATTCGGAGTCGTGTTCGAATCATCAGGAACAATGAGAAGCATTCACGTTTTTTCTTCCAACGCGAAAGGTACAATGCATCTAAGAAACTGATTACTGCATTGAACAGACAACAAATTTTACGTTTGTTTTTGGGAAACAATGAAGAGTGACTTTGTATTAATGGTCAATTCGTATCTGGAAAAAGGCGAGCTACCCCTCTCGCTTCGTCGTGCGGTTGTCAGTTTGTTATTCAAGAGAGAAGATCCCGAAAATCTTAAGAATTTGAGGCCGATTTCGTTGTTAAAAGCTGATTACAAGCTAATTGCAAAGATGGTTTCTCAGCGTCTTCGTTTAATAATGCTGTCTCCAATTCACCCAGAACAATCTTGTGCTGTGCCTGGCAGGTCATCGGAAGATAACGCGACTCTGCTTAGAGACATTTCAGACTATGCGCAATCAAACAATCTTAAATGTGCTTTCATTGTTATCGATCAAGAAAAAGCCTTTGATTATGTCGACTGGGGTTTTATGCACAAGGTATTAGCTCGCATGAACTTTGGTCTAAAAATTCGTGGAATCATTAAATGTCTGTATACGCGTGTCCAAATTAAAGTGCTATTCTCAGCAATGGAACTTTGTCTGAATTCTTTGACGTTAATAGAGGAGGGCGCCAGGGGTGTTCGTAATACCCCTTGCTGTTCGTGCTTGTTTCGGATGCTTTGACCAACTGATCAGAGCTTAGAAATACAAGGCCTTACGTTACCCGGCGGCCATGAATCCAAGATTAGTCAATATGCTGATGATAACACTTGCTTCGTCACTAACGATTATGGCCTCTTAATTGACGTGTTTGAACAGTATGGACGTGTGATTGGCGCTAAGTTAAATCGAACCAAGTCAAAGGGTCTTTAGCTCGGACGGTGGAGGCAGCGATCAGATTCTCCTGGTGGGCGTGTGTGGTCGAATAGCACCATCAAAATCGTTGGTTTTCATTTTGGGGATGAGAGTTTTCTGGGAAAACATGGGGAGCCGGTCTAGAGAAGTTTTGTAAGGTTTTGTCGGAATAGAGGTCGCACTTCCTGACATTTCATGGTAAGTGTACTGTTGTCCGCTCTTGGGCGGCAACCTCCGTTTGGTACTTAAGGCTGCTTTCCAGTCGCGTGTTTTTCATACGTGCGTATACGCACGGAAAAGTTGAAATATCTTTAAATGTTACTTATGAAATAACTGAATGCGACTTGCTCTCGGTGTAATCGTAGATATCCATTGTCCATTTGTCGATAAATTATGGCATTTTGTTTCACGAATTTGTATCAGAATTTATCAGTCGATAACAGCGTTGTCCGAGAGAGCTCTTCTGTTGGGAGAAACTGGTTAAAGGATTAACAGTGACTTAACTAGGTACATTATCTCAGTTGTGAAGTTTGCAGCATGGAAAGAGTGGAGCTCGTATCCATTTAACAGTGATAAGAAGGACAAGTGTGTATTCAGCCCCGCTCACTCCTGTAGATAATCAAAAGCCGCCACCAATTTTTAACGCAAGGTCTCGAGTAAAATACCAAAACCGAGCGAGGACAATAGAAAATGGGTGTGGTAGGTATATAAAGATGCCGGAAGACTTGAT